CCATGTTTCGCGTTAGTGGGTCTAAAACACCCTTCCCTATACGCTTCGCCGCTCCCAAGATTTGTAGATTCTTTTTCTTGTTCCTTGGTCGTAGCTTCTTTATCACTGCTAATGGACACGTGCTGTTTCAGCAGAAGAACGCTTTTAGATAATGTGGCGATACGAGAGGCTTTTTCACACACGAGTCACGTGTCGCGCGCACACTTGTCAGTTCCGCTTATAATAATAGGATTTCAGCCTCTTTCTCCTAGTGGCTGGTAGAATTTCGCAGTCGCTTGTAACGTTTTTTTTTTTTTTTTTTGGGGGGGGGGGCTTATTTGCATTTTTCCAGCAAGTATATTTAAGTTAGTTATCATCACGTTTATGAATAGCCTGCTTGTCGATTACCATGTGTAGTGTTGAAATCAAACATTCGTTGCGAGATTAACTATTAATGTTAATCACGCACTGGCAACCGCGCATTCTAGCGAATGGAGACTACGCTGGAAGGAATGTTAGAAAGTAAAGTGTTCTTTCGTTTACAGTTGCGCATATTTTCGCACTAAAAAATAATTAAAATTATGTTTTTCACTTTACTTCGTACTTGAGTTATGTTTTTTTTTCATCTATCCGATATTAAAAAAATAAAGAATGGAAAAAATTCATTATGTCTCCGCTTTTGTTGGGCTTCCTCGCGAAAGTGGTGCTGTGCTTTCATTTTATTTGTTTCCGGGAGTGGGCTGCTTCTGTTCTGATGTTTATTTGCTTGTTAGTTCGGTAGCCTCTGGCAACTCGTGTGTTTATACAAGCACTTCGGGAGTAAGCAAGGGCGCTACTACATAATGTGCGCGATACGATAGAGGTTTTTGGCACCCGAGGCACGCGTCGTAGGTCATCGATAGACGCACGGTAAAAAGGCGGCGACGAGATAGTGCGTGCTGATAATGAACGAAGCACGACCGAAAAACATCAAGCGAACGGCATTGTGTTGGATGGCGTGGTTCTGGCGAAGTTACGCAATTAGGTAACAAGATATTCCGCATATGTCACCGGGTAAGAATCAGATGAAGAGCGAGGATTCATTTTATGTTGCAGGTTTTACTGCTATCGTAATAATAATTGTTGGGTTTTAACGTTCTAAATCTACGATATGGTTATGAGAGACGCCGTAGTGGAGGGCCTGAAGAGGGCTCGACGATCTGGCGTTCTTTGACGTGCGCTGATATCACGCCGTACATGGGCCTCCCTGAAAATGCGTCGGCCGGGATTGAACCCGTGGCCTTCAGCAGCCGAGCTCTGTAACCACCTTGGTGGACTGACTGTGAAGTGTTTTGAACACTTTTGTGATGAGGTTAAATGACCTGCATACACATAATGTCTTACAAAAGTGATTATTGGAACATATAATTGGTTAATATTTTTTAACGTAAGACTGACTAACAGTCAGTTCGACGAAAGTGTTGTTATTAATGCTAAGCATCGGTTCATGTAAATAAGGACGTTTATGTGTTCCCCGAATGCCTATGTCGGCCAAACCGGCATGTGCATAAGCGACCACCTCCCAGAGCACCGGAATAACGTGCACAATGTGGTACTAGGACACCTTGGCATCCATTGCCGGTATTGTGGTTGCACCCCCCTCTCCGAACGGTGGTTTATATTGGCAAGGCATAAGGAATCAGCTTACCCGCGAAATTATTGAAATACACTTGCATAGGTGAGAACTGCGTAAGCTCCCCATATGTTGCTCTATCGCAGCTAGAACGCGATTACCTGCAGCTGGGCTCTAAGGAAATCGAGTACCCGCCATGCGTGTTTTGATATGGACGCATTGATTAGGTTTGTGTGCCTATTCTGTACCTTTCTTTTCGACGCACATATTTTGCCAGTCTGCGAGATAAAGTTAGTTGGAAGTTGGCGTCCTTTCTGTCTATCCTGTCCCTTTTTTTCCCTATGTTCGTGCGCTGAAAAAACTTGCAAATATGACTACACACCAACAAGTCCAAGCTTCCACTCTTGGAAGATGATGATGACATTTGGAGCAAAGAACAGATAGCTCTTATAAAAGGCGGAAATATGTGTACCTCTAGCAAAAGCGAATGAGTGGTGCGGAGTTGGTGATGTTAAGGATACGTGCTTGACTGCCCTATATTTAGGCTTGCAGACGGCCTGAGTCCGAGTAATATATTGCCGAACTACGCAGAGCAAGCAGTGGAAATAGGGATTAAAAGCCGTGGCTTTAACTTCAGGTTGTAGAAGTTTGTATCTGACTGTTCAGTTTTAATCGAGCTGACTCAGCGCGACCGGAGTGAGCCGAGCTAGAGCATATTCTTCGAGTAAACTTGTAGGCGATAATAATTCGTGACTTTGTTCTCACCCCCACACATACCTTATATATTTTATGTGGCCGGCCCATCAGAATGACTGTGCCAGAATGTCTTGAGCATTCCATATTGTTTTAGGATCATCTGTCGGCCTGAGCGCGCAAACGCGAACAGTTGAGTTTATTCTTGAACAAACGCGGCCCCCAGAGATAACGCTCACCCCGCCGCGGTGGTCTAGTGGCTAAGGTACTCGGCTGCTGACCCGCAGGTCGCGGGTTCAAATCCCGGCTGCGGCGGCTGCATTTCCGATGGAGGCAGAAATGTTGTAGGCCCGTGTGCTCAAATTTGGGTGTACGTTAAAGAACCCCAGGTGGTCGAAATTTCCGGAGCCCTGCACTATATGCGGCGTCTCTCATGATCATATAGTGGTTTTGGGACGTTAAACCCCACATATCAATCAGGGATAACGCTCGAATTTCCGATGCCCCATGTATAAATTCCGGCACCCCGTGCTGCGCATCAGGTTCTCGATGGCCGGCGCTCTGTTAGCCGCTCTCATGGCGCAGCGCTTGTAGTTTGGCTTAGCGTTTCTCGGCCTCAGGCTCGGCCAAGCAAAGAGCTTCAGCTTGGATACGCGCGCCAACTGCTGCCTTCGTCAACGTCATGATCCCGTCAAAATACTATCGTACTTGCTCCCCCCACCATCATTTCTTCTGTTCATTCTGCCGTTGACTCTTTACGCATGCGGGTCGGTGTTATGGGGAATACCGTCTTCTAATAAACTTCAGCTGTAAGTCCAGCCTTGTCTTGTGCGTTACTTTCTTCTTGTGTTAAAGAACCCCAAGTGGTCGAAATTTCCGGAGCCCTCCACTATATACGGCGTCTCTCATAATCATATGGTGGTTTTGGAACGTTAAACCCCACATATCGTCATTACTTTCTTCTTGTGCTCGCGTTTGAAACTTGCCGGAACACTTCACTTGACATGATGATGATTAGTGTGGTCAGTGGCGTAAGGTCCAAAGGATGGCCAAAGATTGTCATATTTTTATTGTGTTAGTAATGACCAATGATTATGGTGACAGACGTCACAATATGTACCAACTGTCCCTCAAAACCGTGCACACAAATATGCAGACAATGAGATATGATGCGGCCTTCGTTACATTTCTAGCGAATGAGCGCGCAGTACCGGACAAATTACGCGCCATGCTCGAGAAATTGGTTTCGCTTTCCGTTTCCTTCCGCGTCGCCCGTTCGCCGTCCCGTCTTTTTTTCACCTCTCCGTTTTTTCGTGCCGGGTTTTAGCCGCAGCCCGTGCCTCCGGTGCTTGCTCCCTCAGTACACGCACGTTGCGCGGCTCGCCTACTCGTCTGCATGACTTTTTTTCATCTCTCAAGCCGAGTTTCGTCTGCTGCGTCTGAGAGCGCTGGCGGCGGTGCGCAGCGCGTTTCTACCAGCCCGTGCCCCTCCAAATCGTAGCTCCGCCTCCGAACAGAAACGAGCGCACCTCCCCAAGTTCTGTGTCTGCTCACTTCGCTCACAACCGTTATTCTACGGTCTCTCCTAGCTTGATCGACGGAAGCACTTTCATATTCGCTCTCTACGACTGCTCGCCATTTCTGCTTGCTGCAAGTGCATCGGATTTCCTGCCCAAGCTCTTTCTTCCCGGAAAAGCAGAAAGGCTAGCAGTGCTCGAACAAGCTCACTTCGGGGTCCCGTCAAGACAAACACGGCTACGCTTTCGCGCCACTTCTCCGGACGCCACCGGACTTGTGCACACGCGTTTGTGTTGATTTCGTGAAGTGCGCGCGCGCGTCAGTGATGTGTTGTGCGCGCGCGCGTCAGTGACTCTCCGCATGGATTCGACTTCACGACAACGGTGCTGTTCACCAACGCGACTTCGCTCTGAGGGATAACTTCTGTCGTTCAAGGCATCGCCGCAGGCTCCGCGCGTAGCTACAGCTGTCACTAGGAATAGCGAGCTGCCGCCGTTGTGCAACCCGAGTGTCCAATCAAGAAGTTGCGACGTCGTCGACGTCATAGCGTCTTGGCGGCTGGCTCTTCGTCCTTTGTAAGCCCCCGCGCTTGCCGCATCTGCGGGCGGCTGTGTAGTGCTAATGCGAGTTCTTCCCTTCCTGACGGTTGTGCTTAGCGCACTTTCCGTCGCCTCCTCTCTTGTCTGTCGACCGCGGCGGGCTAGCGGTGCAGTTTAGTCCGCTACTTGTTCCTTCCGGACCACAACACCGACACATCCTCGCCATCTGAGATTTTGTTTGCGGTCTTTCACTATGATGCATCGCTGTGATTCCTGCAGATGTAGTTTGTGCCAGCGACAGTTCTGAAAGCCGTGCTACGTGGTAATCCGCGAGTCTTCTGCATTGCGAACCCTGTGTCGACGTCAACTGCTGCATCCACGTCGTGTTCGTGAAGTGGGGCGCAGAAAGTGCGTCGCTTCGAAGCTGGTTAGTTCAAGTCAAGTCTACGGTCGTCTTCGAAGTCCGCCGTGGCATTCGCACGACGCGCCGTGCTCTCTCCGCCGTTTGAAGACCCTTTCGCCGGCGTTGTTTCCGAGATGGCCCGCGACCCGGGCCTTCACCTTCCACGCACGCTGAGCACCAGCGCTCTGCGCATCAAGCCGAGATGTTCGTTCTGGGAGAAAATGAACGAGCTGCCGGCGCGCAAGCTAACCGCAAGGTAACGCATTTTCATTTGGGAGGCAGGATTTACGGAGAAAGATTCTTTTGGGCGAGGTTCATTGTATGCCTGTGTCGACGTTGTCGTGGGTGTGTATTCGCGCTGTTACTCCCTCGCTCTAGAAATCACTCGATTCGCTACAATAGGCAAGGATAGGCGGAAGGTACATACGAATTACTAAATTACAGAAAACAGCTTTTATGCGAGCGTACACAACAGCGGTAATTATAAACACGCACTGGTGGTCACGATTAAGAACTGTTTTAGATTCCGACCTCCTTACGGCTAGATTGGTATCCGTTCACTTTAAACAGCTCCTCACCAGCCTTTGAAAGCACACACATGCACAAAAACAGCACAATTTTTTCTCCTGGCGTTTCTCGTCTTTCTGGTGCAGTACGTGACTGAGAAACAGCTATTTCCGTGACGTCTATGACATGCTCTCAATTGGTCTATACACGCGAAATGTCAGATGTGAATTGTTTTGTGCCCTGAATTGCCATGGCAGCCGCCCATTCCTTGCCTCGCGTGACTATCGCGCGCGCAATCAACTGATTTCACTTCATTTTGTTGGACTGCACAAGTGATTACAACAGCGTGTAGCCGACAAGCGCGAAATTTTGATAGGTTTGGTGCTGACGTTGTGGGCTTTGTGAATAAGCGGCGATAAGGAAAGCACCCCCTCGTCTTTGAACGCAAGGTGGTGAGGGGCCCTTTAATAAAGTCTTGCTAGAACAGGTTCTGTTTGTTTGTTTTTTGAAATTTGCAATATGGTTCGTGCTGATTGATAGAGTGTATATTCTCTTTGAAATTGAACTTTTTTGTAGTATAGCATTTCGAAGGCAGTGCCCAATGGAAGTTTATTCGCGTCCAGGGTGGTGCTACCGGCCCTGGTTAACCTCCCTGTCTTTATTTTATCATTATTCTCTCTCTCTCGATCCGCGTCGATGCTCTCGGATTCTCCACGAGATGCTACACGAAAAGTTACTTAGAGCGATATCTGAAGCTCAATTTTTCTTAAGCGTAATCGAAAATTATAGCACGAATAATGCTTCGTCCACGTTCTTAATAATTCTTCAGCACACAACTTATATAAGTAGGGTGTGTTTACTGAAACATGCTGTTGCGGCAATGGGGACTTTTGACAGCATCAAAAAATTTTTCACAATTTGTCGTCATCAAAGCACGGTGAGTGATAACATACATGATATGACGTAAAAGTAAACTGCTAGCCTGGACGCAAATCGAGCAAGACGGAAGCGCGCCTAAGAGACCGCACCCGCTGATAAGTTTAACAGTGAGTATAGGCGCGCGCGCGGCAGGGTTGGCTTCGGGGAGGAGGAAGTGTTTATTGAAGCTCCCCCCTCCTATTGAGTCAATGTATGTATGAGACAGACTTCTATGCCCTCCCCCTCTTATGTAACCAGGGAAGACAGCCGCCCTCCTGCCCCCACCCACGTACGCCCGTGTGTGAGGTCTACAAGTTTACGGAACGCCGGATGGTGAGGAGCCCTAAGTATTTCTTTATCCGGAGCACGTAACCTATTTTGTAAGTGCTTACGACGGCATCTCGATCTTTTCTTTATAAATGCCAGGAGAGTGTTCGAGGATGCAGCGTTGACTGTCGATTGTTCTTTATCTACATGATTGGTCCATCACGAGAATTCCAAGGCCTGACAACGCGTTCTCCAAGGCATCTGTTCCTTACGAAGAGATTCCTAGAGATTTTATTACCGCAAACAATGAGACAGCCGCAGATGTGGTGAAATTGATGACCATTTCGAACTTTTTGGAGGAGTAATGTAGTTTTTCCGAAGCATGCATATAAACTGTAACAATGCTGATTGTTGGCCTAGTTGGTACTTGCTTACTGACATGCTTTGGCCGCAAATAAAACAAACACAAAGTAAAGAAACACTCAACGACAAGCACAACCGCTTGTGCTTGTCGTTGAGTGTTTCTTTACTTCGTGTTTTGTTTTATTTGCGGTCAAAGCATGTCAGCATGCGTATAAAGTTAGCCTTCCGCCACGGAGTGTTTACGGTTACGGCGCTAGACTGATCAGTGGTGTTAACTTTGTTTTGGCAAAGTCTCTAGGACGCATCTGAAAAGTCGCCAATTTTAGCCAAAAGTCGCTAAACGATGATGATGACGATTTTTCCTGAATCTTTAGTTTTTGACTTGAAAAAGCACGTGAAAAGGTTATCTTTCGCTTGAAGAATATTTTAAACCAGTATCTATTGTAGCGAATGATGCTGGACTGCACTTGTATACCTCTTGGCTACGCCATTGAGAGAACCGGTGAGTGCCACAAGCAGCTTGAGCCTGTATGTTTTGGCCTCATTTATCGAAGCTCGTTACGAGCATTCCGCTGTTCTCACAGTTTTCTATGGCTGTTTTATAACACTATATCTCAAATTTTCAAAGTCCGTCGTCAAGTCTCCAAAAAGATAGAACTAAGTTAACACCACTGTGACCGATGATTCCAAGGCCGAGGGTCCTAATCCCTGCCGCGGCGGCCGCATTGCGATGAAGGGAAAATACCAGGCCCATGGTCCGATGTAGACACTCGCGAAAGAATCCCAGGTGGTCAGAATATCCGGAGCCCTGCACTATAAGGCGTCTGTCATAATCGTATCTTTCTTGGGTTCGGGACGTGAAACCCGAACAATTTTAAAGCGTGTTCTTATAGCTTGTAGAGTATGATAGCGTGCGCGGCCGATACTGTCGCGGACCCAGTGGTCGTAGGTTCGACTCCCGTTGGCAGTACTTTTTGTTTTCCTTGCTATCTGATTATGTACTTGTTTTACCTCGTCATTACCGTGAGTCTTGTCGAACACCGTAATAGAACTTTCTTGTTAAATAAAAATAAAGAAAATACAGAGAGTACTGGAAAAGAGAAAGACAGGAGGAAAGGAAGGGAGAGTTGAAGAGTAACAAAATATACTAGTAGGCTTCCCAGATCCACACTTCCTTCAGGCTTAGCACCCCCATTGCGAAGCGGCTTTATTTTTATTGCTATTATTCCTACTGCGCTAGATACCGCTTTAGTGTAGCTGCTGTGATGAAATTTATCACAACGACGCGAGCAACGCTCGAACTAAGTGCATGATTCATGTGGTTTTCCGACGCACGTTCTTCGAGTTTTCTGAAGAACAGCGCTTGGCAGAACAGCTCCAGAGCTAAAGTTTCTTCTCTCTCTCTCTCTCTCTCTCTCTCTCTCTCTCTCTCTCTCTCTCTCTCTCTCTCTCTCTCTCTCTCTCTCTCTCTCGAGTTAGAGATACGACAGCGTCCCTTTCTGGTACTTTCCCATCTTCATCTCACAGGGAATGCTTTAAACTCTCCAGGTTTCCCAGTGCAGTGGGATGAACGTTTCATTCGCTCGCACAGCGATCACAAAAAAAAAAAAACAAACGCTATAGGTGTCCTATCGCTTGGTCACTGTTGCACGGCTTCTTAAAATCGGCCAGGTTGAAGAGCGCAAGGACAGTGATTCCCGAGACGTCCAGATAGTGCGCACTCTCGCGATATCGCTCGTGAATAGTCTCCTTCACTGGTTTGCCATGCATCCGCCTGTTTTTCGTTGTCTTGCGTGGCTATCTTGCGCGATAAACAGATTTCACTTCACTTTGTGTGTTTCCGATTGCGCAAGCAAAGATAACAGCGTCCAAAGCCAACAAGCGCGAAACCCTGATCGGCTCAACCATTCGTGTTGACATTGTGCACGTGCCTTTAAGAAATAAGTGGCGATGATCGCGTGTAAGAAGGGTCGCGAAGGCGAGGAGAAAATCTGCCTCGTCACTGAACGCGGGTTAGTGTGGGGTCCCTTAAATGATCGTTTGTAAACATATGTAATAGACAGACGCTCGTGTAGCCTGATAGTGCATCGTTCTCTCTTTCTTTTCGTTTCTTTCCGTCAGTGTAGGGTAACAAACTGGAAGCGCGTTTGGTTGACCTCCACGCCTTTCTTTTGCTTATTTACCCTGGACTCTCGTAACCCCGAGGAAGTACCGTGTTTTTTTCGCATACAACCCGCACCAAGAAAACGCAGAATTTCGTTGTAAATGGGGGGTGAAGATTATCTGCGTGCGTTATTCGCGTGTTTTCTTTTGTTTTCTCTAGTTAGGGGGGTCGGCTATATGCAGGGGTGGGCAAAATTCGCTGAAATACGGTATTTTGAATTACATGCGTCAGCCTCGCAAACGCTGTTCGTGTAGTCCGCGGTGTGGCCTGCTGTTAGGTAACGAGGAACGAAGCCCAATGGAGCAACGACTCGCGCAGGTTTCGTGGTCAAGGTCACGAGCGAAAGCACTCCCGGCCGATGTTCCGCATTGCCGGCTTCCCCCGCGGTTTCCCCCGCGGCCGAGTCAGTTGGCCGGAAATATTGCACCCACCGAACGTCGTGTTGATGAGGAACGCTCGTGGCTACAAACGTTGTCCGGGAAGTTCCCGTCAGACTATTCTAGCAAACATTACAGTATTTGGCGGGGTAAAACCCGTGCGTTGCTCACTAATGTGATGTGTATAACGCGGAAAATTTCTCTGTGTTTCCCGACAACATAAACATCTCTGCACGATCTTTAACCTTTCGTGAGCCAATTACCTTCGAGCTAGAACTATTTTCTTAAAATCTGCTGAACAGCGTTTCGGATGACTTAAATATATGGCTGGTCCCATTTTTGAAGAAAGTCGGCAGAATAGATTCCTATGTAAGTGGACGAGAAAATACTTGTATTGACTCTATATCCGCGGTGTCATAGACATTTTTGCGTGCTTGGGATCCTAACTGTGCATGCATGCATAATGATATTGATTGTTTATTCTTTTTGCCCTATACTGGCTATTTCTTCTAGCTGAGTGTTGATTTCTTTCTTTTAGTTTATATATATATATATATATATATATATATATATATATATATATATATATATATATATATATATATATATATATATATATATATATATATATATATATATATATATATTGTGAAGAAGAAA